TGAAATTGTTTTCATGTTTAAAACCATTGTGGCCCTAAGTGGTCTTGAACAATGAATATTCTTTCAAGTGGCTGGTGTATAGGCTATACTTCTTCCATGAACCAAGTACAAACTGAATCCACCTAAATATGAAATTATTTTGTGATACTGTATTCTGAGAAGTGATCTGATGATACAGTTTCTTTATAAGAAGCTATTTTCCCCAGAGGCAGTCAAGAGTTTTTATCAATTGTTTTGAGGGGGTTTTGTTATTTGTTGGGTCTTTTTTTTTTTTTAATGCCAAGATGAGTGTTCAAATGCTTGATTTTAAAGAAATCGGTTGTAATTCAGAGCACCAAAATTGTGGATGGAAGTAGTGGATAGAATGTACCAGAGTCTTAAGTTACCACACAGGATTTGGTGCTGATAGGTTTCCTTGGTTGCCACTTACACTTATTAGTGAATATATAATGAATGCCTCACTTTAAGAAAAAAACAATCATGTAAGTCTAATGAAAGATTAGATAAGTTTCTGCTATTTTTTTTGTTTGCATACACACAGGGAGGTTTAAAAATTAGAATTAAACTTGCTTCTCTTTTTGCAAGTCCGTTTTATATAACTTTTATGTCAGGAATGTACTTGATGATGCCATTGTGTCCTGGCTCTGTAAGATACATAATTGTCTGCAGGTTTATATTAAAATAATGTTGAATGATAGGCAAGTTTAGAGCCTTCTGAACTGTTAACTGGAATGCTGTTTTCAATAAAAAAAATATAGATTCAGTCCAACTCGAACTGGAATGCTCAGTTGTTATCATAGTTGATGTCTCCTGTGCTTCATCCAAAAGACGAGGAGTTCCTGTAGGCTAGGTATGATGTTGCCAAGTTGCTGTAAGGTAACAGTGATAACTTACAAGTGCTAGTTGCACATTTGATCCCTGACAAGTCTCTGAATCTCTGGTTTGAATCAGTAGATCACGTGCTGTGTTATGGATTTGATACAGACATGCAAATCCCCTGTGCCTTGAGCACTCCTGAAAGCCTGTGACCGCCACTATGCGGTTTGGGAAATAGGGGCACTGTCCAAACGAGGCATTTGTCACATTTGACAGTTCGCTAGGATAGTTTCAAGAAAGGACTTCAAAAATACCTGTTAGTGCAGTGAAGCAAAAGCCTGAAGTCTGCTTAGTCCCTGCAGTTACGTGCTTGTGCAGCCTGGGTTTCTTTATGCTTTGTGGAGTGCGTGTCCCACGTTCCTCCTAAGCACCTACTACCGGCTTCAAATGAAGTAAGCGGGTGTCAAATTTAACAACAAGTGACACTCATTTTTCCTAACTAACATTTTAATACTGGTAGAGTATGTCATACATATAATACTGTGTGTGAAGGGACAGTCAAATAGGGCAGTTTTCTTCATGTGAGTTGGGTCCTTCTTTTATCTTCTAAGTCAGTGTCTGGGAGGCCAGGCTTAAAACCAACGATACTTTCCAAGTGAGACTGACAGTCAGCTGTTATAGCTGCGATGAAATAGAGATAATCTAAATTCTAGAAGTCTTCAGACATACCAAAAGCAAATGAGATTATTCTGCATGTACATAAACATTTCACTGAATAAAGAAGAATATGAAAGAATGCTCTAACCTCATAGTTGGCTCTGCTTTGAGCAGGAGGTTGGACAAGATGAATTCCTGAAGTCCAGACTGAAACCTGAATCCTAAGAGCCTATGAACAATTAGATTTTTTTACCCCTTGTATTCTCTGTGTGCCCCTCTCTTTCTTCTGGCTGCTTTTTCTTCCATGTTCTCCAAATGTCATTTGTGCAGTCCTCAAACCTCAAAACTCTGTTCTTATATTCTCTGTGTGCCCCTCTCTTTCTTTTGGCTGCTGCTTTTTCTTCCATGTTCTCCAAATGTGATTTGTGCAGTCCTCAAACCTCAAAACTCTGTTTTAACAATTTTGCTTGGCAATTTGAACTATGCTGTGTTTAGTACAAATATTTAATCATTCCATTCTGAATTTTTGATACTGTCAAAGACAAAAATATTTCGCAAATTTGTTGGTATATAGCTGGAGTATTGTTTGAATGTGAGTCAACTTTTATTCATATTAAAGTAACATTGACAAGTTCCCTTGTCTTGAAACTTAAAAAATATACAGAATTTTGCCACGAAATACTTTTGTGTTGTGATACAGGGTTGGTTAAATAGGAGGAGGAGTCTTTTCCAGCCTCAGGTATTTCACTACCATTCCCTGTTAGCTGGTTTGAATGAGAGATACTTGAGGAGAGCCACATAGAACAGAAACACTGGACGAATGGTTTATAATTTTGTCGTTTATGGTTTTTGGTAATTCTTCTGTGTTTCCGGTACAATCATAACTTTCTCTCTAGATCAAAGAATAAAATAACTTGATTTTTTTTTTTAACAATAGGGTAGGTTGTTGGATTGTTATTTCTGTGAAAATAAAGGGATTTATTGCAGATTTCATCTAAAGTTTGTAGTAAGACACTGTATTAGCCCACTCAGAGAAGCTTTGATAAAGGGTGTTCTTTTTCAGTATGTCGCTTGTCAAAAATCAGCTCTGAAGTCATTCTTGGAGTTAACCGCTCTGAGTTGCGAGTCCTATAAAATAATTTTTTACCCCCTCATCAATTATTTTTAAAAGACTCATCTGTCAAGTAGCAATGGTACAATAGAGTAATTTCTCTTCTGGCCTATGGAATGAACTGAAGGGAAAAAACCAACTCAACTGAACAATTCCCTGCCTGAGGTTGCACGGGAAGTTCATAGTCAACTATGGAACTGGGTTCTTACTATCTTGTGCTGCTGACGTGCGCCCCCCGCCAGTAGCTGAGTTTTATTTCCTTCTGATGTAGCATTTTAGCAAACTTGCTCCTTTACAGTAAGCAGGAAGAAGGTTTTCAAGTTAGTTCCTCACCATTATTTACTGTATAGTGAAAAACACAGGTACTGATGTTGCCCAGAGAGGTGGCAGATGCCCCATTTCTGGAAACACTCAAGGTCAGGTTGGACAGGGCTCTGAGCAACCTGATCCAGCTAAAGATGTCCTGGCTTGCTGCAGGGGGGTTGGACTAGATGGCCTTCGATGGTCCCTTCCAACCCAAACCATTCTACGATGCTGTTTCTTACCTACTCTGTACATTATAATAATAGGGAAAATGTTGTATAAAGTCATTACTGGAAGTATACGTGTATCATAAACCTGCAAAGTTACATTTCCTAATCTCTTTCAAGTGCATAGAAGAAATGAAACGGGAAGCCAGACCTATTAAGATTGACAGAAGACTGACGGGTGCAAATATAATTGATGAGCCTTTGCAACAAGTAAGTTCTAACCACAACTATTTAACATATTTTTATTTTTGCAAGTATCGACTATACAATATATAAGTAGTTGACAGACAAATAGAAGTTGAGAAATTTCATCATACTTGAGAGTGGTAAGTGGAAGAACGTTGAGGATGTGCCAGGATATCGGGCAATATTTGAGTCTATTTTCTGTCAGCATAGTGGTGACGAATGCATGCAACCTGATATGAAAAAGAGGTTTCAGTGTGTGAGTTGTATTGTTTCACTCACAATTTCATAATGGTTCACTATGTTAACGTTTTAAGATGACTGCTGTTGCATTCAGGCACAAAAAGTTATTGTGTATTTTGTGTCTTTTGTTCATTAGTTCATCTTCATTTTGTCCTTTCTGATTTCAGGTAATCCAGTTTTCCCTGAGAGACTATGTGCAGTATTGGTATTACACACTAAGTGATGATGAATCGTTTCTTCTGGAAGTCAGGCAGGCTCTTCAGTATGCACTTGTTCAGTTTTCTGCCAGGTAGGATTATTTGTATTTACATCAATACATTGGTTAAGTGAGTGGACAAATACCTCTGTGGGTTGTATGGTAGATAAATGAACAAGTTTATCTGTTGTAGTTCAGTGCATTTTACAGAAAGAGCATGTAAAATTTTAAGATCATAATCTAAAAACTTCAGTCTCTTGCTGATCCCATAAGGAGTGAATAGAGATGATGTTTGTAGTCATGGTCTTTTGCAAAATGGCCTTTTCAAAATCTAGATTAATGGCTAAAATTAATAGATAGAGGGTTTTTTCCTGCAACTTAAGCATTGAGTTGCATGAGTCATCACCTTTTTATATACAGGTCTGTTTCATATAAACAGCAGGGCTATTCCCAAGGTAAGTCAATCTGAAAGCCTTTGATTTGAACATCTGTATCAGCTCAGATAACTTTTAAAAGTGGTATTGCTCTTCAATATGCAAGAACTATGAGTATTCTTAAAGGAATGGTAATCTGGGGAATGAAATTGTCACATATATAAATCATTTTTTTTAGATAGGGTTGGTTCAGAACAAACGGATAGTTTGTTAATTGTTCCAGGTTTTTACTGCTGTTGCTTAATCAAGTAGCAGGAAGTCAAGGAATGTGTCCCGGAAATTATTTATCTTCTTTAGTATGGCTGATTTCTCAGCCCGGGTACCACATACCTTTATATCCATGTACTTCTGCGTTAAGTAATGATATCAGGTTTTGATCCCACTGGGGATTGCTGTCTGTTTCCTCTTCAGAAGAGGTTGTGGGTCACCTAAATATAATAAACTTCTTGGCAATTTTGAGGTGGTGTTATCCTCTCCCTCTATTGACTTGAAAATGTAGGCCAGTGTGCTTTTCTGGCAAGAAAGGTGGAAGATGGAGAGCTAGGTTTAATGTTAGGACAAATTCATTATAATAAAACCTTTCTTACTGTGACGTAAGGGAAATCCTAGGGAACAGTGTTGGAGATAATGAGCAACAGGCTAACTATACTGTACGTTACAGCAAGCAATCCCGTGCTTACCTGAGATGGATCTGGCTACCCAGCTTCAGTGGTTTTGTCTGTTTGGCGAAGTCACTTCTTTGAACAGTATCAGGCACTGGGTTTGTGTAAAAGCAGGTCAAGTTAGAGCAAATTTATTTTTTTTTTCTTCAGTACTACACCTCAAAAATAGCCACCACTCCTGTGGAGTTGTTCTTCTGTACACATCAAATTGGTTTCACAGGGCTGCACCAGTTGCTGTTATTAAGAGAAAATGATCTGGTGTGTTGAATAATGACTGTAGTTGGATATAGCTGTAGCAGTCTTAGATCAGTACCATCGTCTCTAATTTCAGATACCCTGTGAGCTTCTGGAGAGAATGAATACAGCCGACTGGTTGGTTGGGTTTTTTTTGACTCGAGAGCTGCACATTTGGGAGGCTGATGTGAGGCTGCCACCTAGTGCTTTTGTACGAGTGGTGCGGACGGTGCATCTGGATTATTGACAGCTTTGCTTGACTGCCCTTTGAGGCAGCTCTGCTTCTTGTTTCCACATGTAGATTTTGCAGTAGGCTGCCCTCTCTTCCAGACTTCCTTATCCCTTTCTCTCTCTTTGAGGGAGGAATGAGGTGAGGGAACAAACACAGGAGAGGAGGTGTTATAGAGGGATTGTAGATATCTGAGAGAACTCAGGTAGTGAAATTTTACTCTGAAATGCAGAGTAAAAGCCTTTACTAACATAATGTTGAATAAACATTCATTTTGTTGAGTTCATTCATTCAACATTCATTAATGTTGAATAAACATCAACTTCGCTAAACCTATAATGCACAAGTGCCTTCTCAGTTTGGCTGGTAAGGCATGGACATCATAAGAATCCGTCTGCATCTTTTTTATACCACTAAGGAAATAGTTTTATGCAAATCTAAGAGTAGTTTCTGACACTAACCTGTGTGCGTTGTTGGAGATACACTCTAATTACCTCTCATATAAGCTGTGGAATCAATTGTTGATAATATTAGGTTGCCTATAATTTCAAGTGAACCGTGTGTTTTTTCACTCAGGCGTATACTGCAAATTCAGCAGAAAATTAATTTGTTGAGGTACCTTCCCAAATGATGGAAACCATGGCTGAGAGACCTGGGGAGTATTTTATTTCTAGGTTGTAGACTGTTTATATCAGGATATTTCACAATGTCATGAATCAGAATACTATTCCAAATACTAATGTTGACTTTAAAGTAATTGAAGCATAAATATTAATATGGTGCAAGAGTGGTGTTTTGCAGTATTTGATTTGTTTTCAGGGGATAGGCAGTTAGGAGACTGATTTATTTCTTTGCTTTTCTGTGTGTACTATCAGTTTGGTTCTTGGCAGGGAGGAAGAAGTAGAAATTTATTATTGTTCTTTGTGTTAAGGATAAAATAATCCGTTGTCATGGATGTCCTTTTCTGATAGGTCAAAGGAGACAGACTGGCAGCCTTATTTCACTACACGACTTGTCGATGACTTTGGCACTCATCTTCGAGTTTTTAGAAAAGCTCAGCAAAGAATAGCAGAGAAAGGTGATCAGATGAAAGGTAACTACTTAAATGTTTTTTGGTTTGTGTCCGAGTAAGCAGGTATCTTACATGTGGGAAATAGTTAGCTTTATTTTGTAATTCAAGTTTATTCTCCAGTTGCTAATCTTTATAAAAATGTATGTTTCTCTTTATTTTCTTTTGTGTAGACCAAGCTGAGGAACTTGTAGATACATTTTTTGAGGTTGAAGTTGAAATGGAAAAAGAAGTCTGTCGTGATCTAGTCTGCACTTCTCCCAAAGATGAAGAAGGTTTCTCAATATTATTTTCTGAAGTTATTTTAGTATAGCAGGCTAAATTAAAATCCTAACAGTTATGTTCACAATACGAAATATACTGAAATCTTAGCATGTGACTTTCAAAGAGTGATTATCTCCTATACATGTGTATTTCCTCTAAGTTGTACATATTAATGCTATAATTACAATAAAGTGTGTGCATCTGTAGTTATTACACTTTTCAGTGGAAGAATTTTGAGAGAAATATGTTTTCTGGGAGGCAGGGGTGGCTTTGCAGATTCTTACTGCTTTTTGTTAAATCTGCCTGCCTTATCACTATTCTTCAGTAAAAAAATCAGTTAATCTTTTTCGACAAAGTGTGGAGGAGGGGCGAGGGGGGGGGGATAAACCCTGTATATGTTAATTAAGGAAAATCCATTGAAGTTAGCCAAATTCCAAGAACCAAAACTTTCTTTTGTCTTAGTTTTGAGACTCTAAATCTGTTTCCACAGTTAGGTTAACATCAGTGCTGCTTACATTCAGTCTGAAAGGTGTTACTCTGATGCTTGGGCTATTAAGAGTATATGTGACTGTGTATTTGAATTTAATTTTGAGGATTTATCTGTTGGTTTTATTATAGGTAAGATGTGAAGTAACATAATACAAAATTGTGCTGAGGGCTTTTTGTTCTCCCTCCCTAGGATTCCTAAGGGATCTGTGTGAGGTTTTACTGTATATATTGCTACCTCCTGGAGACTTCCAGAACAAGATCATGCGATACTTTGTCAGGGTAAGTACGGACTCTAAAAGCCATCCCGATTGTAAATTTTTTTTATGGCAGTAAACTAAAGATCTGAACGGCTCTTCTTATTTTGTAAAATTGATCAAATTTAATATTAGGTTATTTTAAATGCAGTACAAACGTGGTAAATATTTAATAGCAAAGAGTGGTTTGTGTGAAATGTTTCTGAAGTTTCTTATACCTTAGCGACATCAGAGAAGTGTGTTAAAATGGGTGTTGTTTTTCTTGAGGTATTAACATCTTCTAATATTAATTGGAAGGGATTGTGCTAGTGCCTATTGAATGTTTTCTGTAATTACACATATTTTATTTAGCCGCTGCACTGTGATTTTTAAATTGTTGCAGTTATATTAGCTTTATGAATAAATGTATAAAGTGACTTATTATATTTTGTTTTTCAGGAAATCCTCTCCCGAGGAATTCTTCTTCCATTAATAAACCAGCTCAGTGATCCTGATTATATTAATCAGTATGTCATATGGATGGTAAGACTTATGCTTAAAACGAACGATATTTCCAGAATATTTTCATATAAACCTTTCCTTGTGTTCCCTGTAATCACGGCAGATAGATACCTGGTAGAAAAGTTACTGATGGGTATATATATGGGCAGAGACAGCGATCTTATGCATGCTGTATTAACTTCTATATATATATATATATATGTGCGTGTGATATGTTGGCAGATAGATACCTGGTAGAAGAGTTACTGATGGATATATATACGGGCAGAGACAGCGATCTTATGCATGTTGTATTAACTTTTATATATATATATATATGTGCGTGTGATATGTATGTATGTATAAAATACTTGTGTATGCAAACACACACACATACACAATCTTATCTGTGTAACCTGTGTTGTGGTTGCTTGGCAAAAGTTGCCTGACTGAGGATAGATGTATGACAAAGTGTGAAGGTGATTCCTCTTTTCAAGTGCTTTCCTTGGCTGTTCAGGAAGGATGGCAGCAACCTTGGAAGTTTTTTCCTTGACTGTTTTTATGATGTGTGCTTTAAAGCTTAAGAGGCCTCCAGAATCATGAGTAATAAGATTGGGTTTTCTTTGCTTCTGCTAAGCAATCTCAGGGTGATATTTTGGAGATGTTTCTGGTAACCCTTAATAGTTTAACTGCATGGAAAGAAACAAAGTCTTTACTTTGAGAACTCTCTAATGCGCCTGCAACCCCTCACCCCCCCAACTTTAAAAAGTAGTAATATATAGTAAAATTAACATAAATAGAATATTCAAACTTTAATTAATGTTACTGATATTTTTGCAAAGCAATTTAAAATCAACTCTTACAGTTTATTGTCCCTTGTAGGTCATGAATCAAGTTTAATTTTTTCGTTTCCCCAAGTTCGCTCTACTTTCATTCATATATTTTAGTTGTTACAGTGTGCATTCAAGTGCTATGCTGAAAACACCCTTGGATTTCAGAGTAAAAGTTTTTACCAGCCACCTCCATTTCCTGTGAAAGTTTGCACACTGCTTTTCTGCAGGAATGTAGCTTTAATACGAAAAAATACTACAGCTTATATGGACCAAGCTTTTCAATTTTTGTTTCCCCTTTCCTCCTACGCATGTTCTTTATTTGTAACTTGACCTCATTCTTTATTTACTGAGCACTGCCCTTGGCTGCATCCAAAGATAGAATTCTGAGGGTTTTATAAGGCTTTTTGTTATGATGTCTATGTCCCAAATATTAATTTTCATAATTGCTTTCTGAGATGAGGAAGAGTAAATGCTTTCAAAAATATAATACAAGTCTTATGAAATGAAGATTGTAGCAGAAATTAAGGTCAGAAGTAGAGATAACTGGAATAAATTTTGGCTCCCTTTGGAACCTTTGACATGAAATCAGATTTGAATGAAAAAATTCGGCTTCTGAAAATGAGACGTTTAATTCCATGTTTGTAGGCACCCCACAGTTCGATACTAATTCTCTTGTGATAAAATACAAAGCTTCACTATAAAATTGGAAGTTAATCCGAACGTGTCTGTCTTCACCGTGGAATTCACATTTTTACAAAGTGTTTGAAGTTCCAATATTGCTTGTGCTATTACTTTTAACAGCAGACTTCTGGGAAGATTTTCCATTAACTTTGGTCAAAGGTATCCAGTATTCATTCTCTCCGCTCCGTGCGATTCATGTCAGTGCACTTAGGCAGTACCAGCATTTCCATATCAAAGTGAACATTTATGAAGGATGTGGGTGAAGTGACTTTGGCTTCAGATGGCAGAGGCAGCTGTAGGACTCAACCCTCTGCACCTGTGTGCACATGCTGTAGAGCTGCCAGCCTTCCCTTGATCTCCATGCTGCGCTCACAACGGTTTCCAGCGCTCTCAGCAGCACAGCAGGCCTCCTTCCCGTGCACAAATTCCTTTGAATCCCTAGAGCAGGTTCACCCTATGCCAATACTGGGAGAATAAGTGTGTGTTGAAATAGCCTAGTAGTATTTACAAGGGTATCTGAATTAGGGTTTCAGAGAGGGTATTAATTCAGTTGCTTCCTTTTTCATTTTCCCAGCAGGTTATGATCACACTGTAGAAGGTTTTAATTCTTTTTGTAATTCGGTAGCTAAAGAAGCCACTACATTGGGAGCATGTATGCTTGCAGGGACGTTGGCAAAGCTGGAACCTTTTCAGTGGTCTCACTGGTTTCTGCCTGCTTAGCTGAGGAGATGGGTAATAGCAGACAAAGGTTGATTGGGTTTTGGACAAGATCTTCTTAAGTAGGTTGACTTAATGTGTGTCTGTACTTCTTGAAGACAGAAAATCGTGGTGTGAAATAAGTTTTGGCTGTGTGTGTACTTCTTTCTTGGTCCATGTAAAATATTAGTATCAAAAGAAAAGTTCAGAAGCATCAAAGTGTTTCCAAAATGCCCCTTAGCAGTGCTGTATCAAAATAATTCACTTAATGAAAAACCATGTCACGTGCTTCTGGCTGTTTTGCACTGTTCATACTGTAAAACTTTCTGTTTCAGATTCGTGATTCCAACTGTAACTATGAGGCCTTTATGAATATTATTAAATTAAGTGATAATATAGGAGAGTTGGAAGCAGTGAAAGATAAAGCAAGTGAAGAACTGCAATATCTTCGATCTCTAGATACAGCAGGAGATGGTAAGTGCTGTATTGTTATACAAAATATGAAATACATTTACCCACATGATGTCTGAAGAATATCCCAAAACTTTAGAAAATAAAAACTCTGATGCAGCACAGAGTGTAAAATATTTTGTTATTTAAAAAATAAATAGATTATATATGAAGTGTGACAACTTGAATCTTCATAAGTGTGGGTTGGTTTGGTTTTTTAAATATAGAATAATTGGTTAGGTTTGTGTACTTCCATTGGATTGAAACATACCTGACTGGTGGTTCTGAATTTCGGTAACATTTAGCCAACTACCCATTAATACCTAACAGTTAATCTGTAAAAGGAAAGAGAAAAATAGTTCTTGTTCACTTCCATCAGTAAGGTATTCAAGCTTCATTTCAAAGCTGATGTGTTTTGTATGTGATATGTCACTTTTTGTATGATATTTTTAGAGCATTTTAGAACAAGAGTTTATTTACTGATCTGCATTGCTTAATCCTCTTTATTTTTCCTTTCAGATATCAACACTATAAAAAATCAAATAAACAGTTTATTATATGTTATTAAAGTATGTGATTCAAGAATTCAGAGGTTGCAGTCAGGAAAAGTAAGTATATTAGAATGTTTTGGTTTTTTTTTTTTAGTTCTGAAAGAGTGAAGTTGCAAATGACTTATTAGTTTGTTTTAGCTTTTTAATTCTTGTGTTTTGAAACACAGCCTGAAGTATGCGGTTGTAGGAATACAGAACACAACTGAGTTTAGTCTTGTATTTGCAGCTTAAGTACCAACGAAAATTTTAAAGGTTCGGCTATTTGAAGTTGTTGGCATTTGGGCTTTAGCAGTTTAGATATGTCAGTACATCTTAAAACTCTTCTTACTTTCTCAATACGAGAGTTAAACTGAAATGTTACGTAGATGTAAAGCACCTTTGTATTATACACCTAGATTCAGTGCTTTTTTGCTGCTCCAGTGCATGCTTTGTGTGCCTCAAGCGTAGTCTTTGGCAAAGATCTGTTGTCTTGTTGGTAAAGGTACCACTTGCTGATTATTTTGCAACACCGTATAGACTCCATATATTGCTTTTGTTAAACGTATTTACCTCTTTAGTTCAAGCAAAAGCCTAAGGCAAACTCGATGTTAAATTTGAGAACCTCATGTTGTTCTGTTTGCTTGTTTTGTGTTTTCTTTTATATTTTAAGGCTGAAAGTCAGTATGTTTGACTTTGCTTAGTTTCTTGACTATCTTAATTGGATGTAGAAGTTGCTCCAAGATAATGTAATATTGTGCATATTGACTGTTGAAATGATGAGTATCCCGCAGCTGGACCCAGAAGCATTACTGTAACACTAAGAAATATATTGACAGAAGAAAGTTGGGCAGAGATGAATTTGAGTTGTGGTGACCTGCACCCCATCAATGCTGAAATTAGTTCATCTTGTTAATTTATTTTCGTGTTACTGTCACTGTTGGTGAGGGATTTGAGGTTAATTTTGACCTGTACAGTATTACACGAACGTCAGTGTTAAAATCCAGCTTCCCACGTAGCAGAAATCTGCTGAAGGCAAATAGTTACGAGAACGTGACCTTACAAACTAGATCTTCATTTATTGGTGACAGTGAAAATAACTAACCATTGAAAGGCTGCTTTATTATCTGTAATGTGAATTATTTTTTATTACACCTACCTTGTGGTAAGCAGAAGTTTTAAAAACTAATTTAAAAAAAAAAATAAAGCCTCTGAACACACTGAACTGTGTCTTACAGGAAATAGATACTGTGAAACTGGCAGCAAACTTTGGAAAACTTTGCACAGTCCCTCTGGACCATATTCTGGTAGACAATGTTGCACTACAGTTTTTTATGGGTAAGTGTTAATTTATCTGATCGCTTTTATTTAGGAAGAATATGCTAACTCACAGGACTGTACACTTGAAATGGCTAAATATAGGTGTCTACTGAGAGCTAAATGTGTATAAGCTTCTTGCCAGAGGGAACCAAAGCCTTTTTTGCAAATCAGGCTGTAATTAATTCTTCAGAACACCATACTCAGTACTTCCAAAAGCTTGTGTCTAGCCTGTTTCAGTACCGATCTCTCTGTCAGACTGTTCTTGCAGAGTTTCTTGGTCTGTCACTTCACAAGTTCATTCTGTTTAGAACAGAGTCATTGCAAGAATTGCTTGGAGTTTTTTATAATTGGAATGACTCTTAACTTATCACAATCGTTAATCTTACTTTTGCTGATCTCACTGAAGCTAATGGAACCAACGAATATAGATGTTAGATTGAAGTTTAGAGGATTACAAGGCTGCTGAAGGTTGTCTATTTGAGGAGCTAAAATACAGCAGTAATTTATGAACTATTTTAGGTTTATCATATAATCAAGAAATTGATAGATGGATTGAAGTTGTATAATTATTTTTTAATACTTTCTAATGTTTGAGTCTTTGTTAATTAATTGGGCTGCTGATGTCATTACTAAGAATATCCATCGGTTTTGTTGGTGATTATAGTAATTTTAATGGAGCAGATGGAAATATAGCAGAGAGGACACAGTCCAGGAGGTTCCTGGAGTGTGTGGAAGGTAACTTCCTGACCCAGCTGGTGGGGGAGCCAACTAGGGAAGGCGCCCTGCTGGACCTGTTGTTTGTGAACAGAGGAGGACTTGTGGATAACGTGATGGTTGGATGCCGTCTTGGGCATAGCGATCACAGGATGATAGAGTTTTAGATTCTTGTAGAAGTAAGGAGGGAACTACCACCTTGGGCTTCTGGAGGGCAGACTTTGGCCTATTTGGGGGCCTGGTTGACAGAGTTCCTTGGGAGGCAGTCCTGAAGGGCAAAGTTGTCCAGGAAGGTTGGATATCCTTCAAGGTGTAGGAGCAGGCTGTCCCCAGGTGCTGCTAGTGGGGAAGAACACCAGACTGGCTGAACAGAGAGCTTTGGCTGGAACTCAGGAGAATTTAAAAAACAAAACCAAAACCAAACCAAAACAAACAAAAAAAAAAACCAAAAAAAGCCAAACCAAAACACAAAAAACCAAACAACCCAACAAACAAACAAAAAAACCCCGAAAAGCAAAGAGTTTATGACCTTTGAAAGAAGGGCAGGCCACTCAGGAGGACTACAAGGATGTCGTAAGGTTATGCAGGAAGAAAATTAGAAGGGCCAAAGCCCAGCTAGAACTTAATGTGGTTACTGCTATAAAAGACAGTAGAAAAAGTCTCTATAAATACATTTAGCAGCAAAAGGAGGGCTAAGGAGCATCTCCATCCCTTATTGGATGCAGGGGGAAACACAGTGAAAAAGGATGAGAAAAGGCCAAGGTACTTAATGCTGCCTTTGCCTCAGTCATGTTCTCAGGCCAATTGTTCTCATGGTACCCAGCCCCCTGAGCTGGAAGACAGGGATGGGGAGCAGAATGAAGCCCTCATAGTCCATGGGGAAATGATTAGTGACCAGTTACACCACTTGGACACACACCGGTCTATGGGGCTGGATGGGATCCACCCAAGGGTATTGATGGAGCTGGCAGAAGTGCTCACCAAGCCACTTTCCGTCATTTACCAGCAGCCCTGGCTAACTGGAGAGGTCCTGGTTGACTGGAGGTTAGCGAATGTGACATCCAGCTACAAGAAGGGCTGGAAGGAGGATCTGGGGAACTACAGGCCTGTCACAGTCTGACCTCGGTGCTAGGGAAGGTTATGGAGTGGATCACCTTGAGTGCTGTCACACGGCACATAAAGGGAAACCAGGTGATCAGGCCCAGTCAGCATGAATTTATGAAAGGCAGGCCCTGCTTGACGAACCTGATCTTCTTGGCTCCCAATTTTGTTTACTGATTATCACCAATATGTATGTAGTACTTCTTAATTTTTGACTGTAGATGACTAGTATTGCAGGTGTATAACCAGATCCTGGAGTTACCATCATAAAGAATCATAATTTGAAGATGAAAAACAATAACTATGATTGTGGTGACTGTTTTCTGTAGATTACATGCAGCAGACTGGTGGCCAAGCACATCTGTTTTTCTGGATGACAGTGGAAGGGTACAGGGTTACGGCACAGCAACAGCTGGAGGTACTTCAAAGCCGTCAAAAAGATGGAAAACATCAGACTAATCAAACCAAGGGTCTATTAAGAGCAGCTGCGTTTGGAGTTTATGAGCAATATTTATCAGAAAAGGTAGGAATAACTTATTTCTGCATTGTTTGGAACTTACTCTTTGTACAGATGCCTTTTTTTTTGGTAGTTATGGCTAAGTTAATACGAAATGGATGTGATGTAGCACAAGCTGGTTACAAGATGTCATTTAAGCTGTTACTTGTGGATATTCTCATGTCAAGCAGCAAGAAAATGTGTTCCTCTCCCTGCCCTCCCCTGTAGTACTCATGCTGGTAGTGACTATTCAGTCAAATGCACAGCATTTGTTCTTTAGAAGCTGGCTTTCCAGAATAGAGAAAACCTAGAGAAAATATGAAGACAGAATAAGAAATTCTGTCCCTTTGGGTATTCTATCCCTTCCTGTTTCCCTTTTTTTCCTCTGCTCTCTACCTACCCCCCCTTACGAAGAAAAAGTGGGGTTTTTAAAAAAAAAAAAAAAAAAAATGCAACCCACTGTTTGTACAGACCTGGGTTAAGATTGGGTTTTCAAGTGAAATCATTTCCTGTGCCTCTCTGCAATTGTCTGTGTAAATTGCTCGGATATCACTGTTTCAGTCGGCTAAGCTTGAATGCTTCCAGTAGTCTTGTAATAACGGAGTCTTCTGTGAAAGAAAACACTTGTCAACTTGTGTTAACAAAGCCTCTTTGTTCTGAATATGTGTATGCATAAAAATCACCTCTCAACTCGCTCAAAAGTTTCCCTCAACAAATTATCCCTCAGATATCTTGTAATGCTTCTCTTTCTGCAGCATTTCTTTCACCTTGGGTTTTCACCTCCATGGTCTATCAGCAGGCTGGACTGTGCAGAGCTTATTCTGATGGGTTTTTGAGATGACTGAATGCTCACCACTCTGAAGTCTGTTTTTAAGTTTGAGTAAATCTGGCTTAGATATTGCTTCAAAATAAAGTGCATAAATTGCCTTTGAGGTAGTGACTCTCAGTATTTAATCCTGAACCTTCTGACTTTCAATACAAACTCTGCACTTTTGGGGGAAGAGGGGGTCTGACTCATGTTGTGTGTTCTAGACAGTTCTGGACATACTCATCAAGAAGAAATTTAGTTAGAGAATTGCAGAATTGTATTGGATTTTCTAATTTTTATGCTGCAAAAGTTGATTAAGATCTCTGTGACAGGCGTCTCCGAGAGTTAATATTGACGACAATTTAGTAGCAAAACTGGCAGAGACACTGAACCATGAGGATCCAACACCTGAAATATTTGATGACATTCAGAGAAAGGTATACTCTATTCATCCTGTATTTCATAAAACTGTTGATGCTGCAGGGTATTAAACATCACTGCAATCATTGAAAAAGTAGGAAGGAGCTCAAATACCTGAAACCTAAAACCTCTTTTACCATTTCCTATTCTCTAAAAATCGTACTTTAAATTGCCAACTTCTGCTTAGCCGTGCGTAGCCCATGGGTTTCAAAGCAATAGACAGAAAGAGTAGGTATGAAATTAATTGTGAAGCACAATTTAGAATTATGGAATTATTTTTTGTGTTAAAGCACCAATTTAAGAAAAGTGCCTGTGTAGATTAAGCAGGTGGTACAATTTTGGTCTGGTTTTAACTCTTTCAAAGGTGGATGTAAGCATGTTACTGTACTAAATTCTCTATCTCTTTCCAGAAGTTAATTTGACTGTTCTGTTTCTGCAAGCCTGCACAATGTAGCACGCAGAAGCAGCAAGTACTGAAAACAGTCTTTTTACTGCCTGTATATGTAGACTTTGTCACTCAAGTCTAATGTATATATTTAGAAAAAAAAAGTAGTGAATTATTAATAATCTGGCAGTAAATTATATACCCAGTCTGAGAGGTTTTTATTTTAGGTCATTAACTTAATATTCTCATTCATGCTAAAAATTAGTGATATAAGCTGTAGAACTTGGAATCACTCTAATGTGCTTGCGGCTCACATTTAAGACTAATGAAAACACCTTGTCAAATCTGTATTGCTCAAAGTAGGTTACAAGGGCCTTGTGTGTGATTTCTGCTGAAGAACACGAATAAATTTCTTATGTATTACAAAAGAAATTGACTTCCTCAGATCTGCATGAAATTTTCTTCCCATTCTTACCAGGTGATAGTACTTGTGCAGTGTTCCATGACAGAAAAAAATCATCATGAAAATACTCTAGAGTTGATACGAACATCCAGACGTTATGAATTAATTCCCAGCACATATAGATATGTGTGTGTATGTGTATATACTGTCACTGTATAGGATACATAGATCATTTTTTGAGGTGGTGTGGCTAAATCCATGTGAGATAGGGTTATACTGTATTGGCTGAACTGGAAATTTTCAGGAAAGTAGTATGCAGTGTCTTCCCTCCCCTCCTTTCTCTCTTCTCACCTCTCCCCCTAAGTGTTTCCAAACCTGCATTTATAGTTTGTCACAAAGGACTCCGAGAGAGAACCTCTTGTGAAATGGGTGAAGACCAACTACGTGCGATTGGAAGGGTTAAGAGGAGAGAAAGGAAACACAGTTAACGTGCTACTTCCCTTCCTATATGTGCATGTCTCACTAGTTAGGAAGGTGTTTTCTGAGGCTGTTACACTTCCAGACAATTACTTGTCTTAACCTTTCCCTTAAAACTGAATTGAAATTTCACAAACTCTTACCAGGGTTTTAAAGAAAACCCAGAAACACGTGATAGAGTGCACAGATACGTGTCAGTCAAGTAAAATTTATGGGAGCTTGTCTGATTAATTAAAATATGTAAGAAGTATTTATAAAGCTGGCATTTTTATTTCAATAAGGTGTATGAATTGATGCTGCGAGATGAAAGATTCTACCCTTCATTCAAGCAGAATGTGTTGTATGTCCGTATGTTAGCTGAGCTGGACATGCTGAAGGATCCTAGTTTCAGAGGATCAGATGATGGTGAAGGAGGTGAGCTCTATAGCTGAGGGGGATTTCCTGGGATTGTGCTTTTTTCTGCTTTAAAATGAAAATAAGAAAATCTTCCACCCTGTTTTGGAGAAATCAAAAAGTTAGTTTACTATCTCTGAATTTTAAATGAATGTTTCCTCCTTGTGCTTTTTTTTTTTTGTAAATTGTTTTGTGAGTCAAATAGTTTTTCCTGCAGTAACTTTATTAATCTCATGTACGTTTTTTGTCAAGTCTTGGTAACAAGTGTGTTGCTAAAATAAGTGTGAGACTTTTTTTTTTAATTCAAAAATATTTGAGGTTCTTTGATGTGTTGGGTTCTTTTAATATAGAACTATATTCTTCATCTGTAAATAGAAATTGGAGATGTGGCTTTTAAAACCAATTAAAATCATTCTTCTCATTAACTCAAGTACGAATCTAATGGAGATTGTTTAACTATTAAAATGACTCCTTAATGAAGCAATTTCATGTGGTGATACAAGCTTAAAGAGGAGTGTTTTCTGGAGTGTTTATTTCATATCTGTGGTTATATAAATTTACCTACAATTTCCTTTAGGTGTCTTTATTGGAAACTTCAAGTACTTGGGTGCAGTGTTTTGCCCAATGCTGTGGTTGTCTGTTATTTACCATAATGGTTCGTCTTTGCATTTTTTTCTTATATGTGGCCCTACGTTGGAGAAAATCTAACCTGTTTTTCTCCTTTCCCCTCCTTCACTGCTCCCAGAATCTTTCAATGGGTCTCCTACTGGCAGTATAAATCTGGTAAGTGCTTGGATTTTTTCTTTTTAAATTATTATTTTTTCTCCCCAGCAGTAGGGAAAGTGTAATAAAATAGTTTAAACTATGCACATTAGAAGTTTTAGTCCACTGCAGTTTAATTTCTGAAAAAGTTCTTGAATCAAATTGTATCACACATAAGATATCAATTAATCTGTAAAGTAAAACTGTGCCTTCTGTACTTTCCGCTGTTTAACGCGTTTTTGGATTGTTTCTCACAGAAACAGTAATAATCTATAGTTAATTTATGCAAAGCATACTTTCATATCCCTGTTTGTTTTTCTTAAATAGACATAAATGTGGAGTTAGGTAATAATAAGTGAAAACAAATCCTTTGTAACTGAAATCTCAAAGGATTAGATTCGAATAGACTGTAAATGAGGCATTTAATTAGGTTTTTATAGGGTGTTTTTTTTGAGTTAGGGGTTGTTCTAGAAACATAAAAGCACCTGGAGTCTATCCATTCAAGATACAAGTCTTTGTTTTTTAGTCTGACCAGTTTCAAGTTCAATTTTTGATGTTTTCTTAAGCAATTCTTGACTGGGTTGGTTTGTCAGATCCTTTTCTTTGTTACATGAATGTACTTAAATATATGAAATACGCTTCTGCATGTATTAGTAGTTGCCTGTGTATGAAGGGAACTGTATAATTCTACCAGACTTTTTCCAAATAATCTGTCCGACATAGATCTTACCAGGCTTAAAATGTTTTAAACTGAAAAAATTAATTCATAGTTATTTAAAAAGAAAAGATCATGAAAAACTTTGTATTTCTTCCCCTCCCTCTTATTGTTTCTTCAGACTCTGTGTAGCTGAGCCACAAGATACAGAAGGTTCAATTGTGCATATGAGAGTATTTTTCCAAATCTTTTAGTTTTAAGATTCGCAATCTGTATGCCGTTTCCTGGCTTATGCGATTCATAAGCCCTTCTAATTCATTCTTGGAAGATGCAGTAGCTCCTCAGGAGTTCCAGTGCGTTGGTTAGATCATGCTTGCACGCAGAGGAGTAGAGTTTATCTTGCAAAGGAATACATTTAACATGAATGTAAATGTGTTTCCGTGTGGAGCTTGGTTGTGGGTATATTTGTTGGTGGGTTTTTGTTTGGTTTTGAGTTGGAATTTTTTTTACTATTATTTTTCTCTTTACATTTTGAAATACCAAGAAGGGAGGTGGATAGCTGATAGAATTTACACAACCTCATGTTAGATGCAGAAGGAAAACTTAATTTAGCCATATTTTAAATAAGTTTACAGAGAATTCTGGTAGTATTTCACAAGAGATTCTTTTAATTGACTAATCTCTCAAGAAGATCTTTCAAATGTCTTTTTTTAAGAATATTCCGACATAGCAAAATCATATTTTATAGGTGGGGATTTGCCATTGCAGTGGCTCATCTTGCTGGTGGTTATCTGCTGCTTAGTTTCATGTGGCCTTTCCAGAGGACATTAGAATGTCTTAAAGCCATTATCAAGCACTGTTGAAATAAAAAATAGGTATTTGCATGGGACAATTCAAAGTCTTTTGTTGTCATTGTGAAAAGAATGTTTGCGGAATACTACATCAACTATTTCTATGAAGAGAAAAGAACATTCTAGGAGAAATCTGTAATAAATCCCTGTTACGCGGAACTTTTGCTTTCTGTAGTCCATATTGAGGGTTTTCAGTGCTTTTACAGGTGTTTGGATACTGGTAGATTAGTTTTTCCTGGCTGAATTCCATGTCAAGAGTAAGTTTTGGTACACATAGTTTAGCTCCCTTGTGTTAGTCAGTTACGTGAAGAAAAATAGACCTTGGAAAGGTTACTTCAAAGGTCAGGGAATTTCTGTACTTTAGCTAATGACAGTGTATTAAGTAAGATTGGGTTGTGGTGTGATATTTTTGCTTTTTAATTAACTTGTGTTCCTGTGGATGTACCTAATGTCAAAGATAGTAGGTCATATTAAATACAAACTGTCTGTTGTGTTATCTGTTCAAGCTTCAACCGTTTCATTTATTTGTGTTAATTGTTGCTCTATAGTGCCTTGCCACAGCATTTGGGTGTTTCTTAAAGTTTGTTATAAAATATGTTGCCTGCAGTTTATACTTTCACTGTAAGAATGTATTTTAAGATTACTTGGAAGAGAGGCTCAAAACTATTTTGAGGAGAAGTTATTTTACAAAAATATCTTAATTTCTGCATTTTAATTTGACTCATTAATCTCCTATATTAAACCAGTGGGGCATATTTTGGGGGTATAAAACCACTGTAAATATTTATAGACTCTTGCAGATCTCCATCTAAATGGATCCTTAATGGGAGCTTTATGTACTGCGTTTACACTGAGTAAATAGGAGTTACACAGGTGTTACATATCCAAGACCTTGAATGGCAGCAGAAATGGCTGGGTTGAACTTGTGATGGTCATTAGTGTATGTCAGCTTGAACCCCATTCGGTTATCAAGAAGAAAATTGAGCTGCTAGGGTGGCAATGAAAGGAGGAAGGACAGCAAGAAATAATGATGCCTTTTAAAAAATATAACACTACGTGAATGTCAGTATTTCATAGCAAACAGAATATTAGAGCAGTTACTTGTTTTCTTTCATAACATCCCTTCCATCTTACCAATAATCAAATCCTAGAGCTCTCAGAATATCGAGCACCCATCCAAGCTTCTATGGTGCTTGCCAGTCGTCAGTCTCAGGTGATATGCTGCTCCTAAATTTGGACACTGCAGCACAGAGCACACCTGACAGGGCTATTGCTGTCAGAGGGTGACTTGCTTAGGAATGGACTAGGTCAGAGAAAGTCTATCCCCATATCCAACAGTGACCAAAAGCAAGTGTCTAATGAAGATTATGAGAACAGTCCCTTCACAGTGATACTTTACCGGAATACTCTCCAGCATCCAGTGACTTCCAGATTTGGGAATTCTTGAGGTAAAGATGATGTCTGCTTTCAAAATATTTTTGCATGAATTCATCTGTTCTGCCATTGAACAGACATGAACTTTTTATAGTGTTCAGTGGCAAAACAGATTTCCCAAACGGGCTCTTCTTTCTTCTGCCTTTTTTCAGTCTGGGACTTCTGTACTGTAAGTCTGTAAGCTGTATCATAAGATATTTACGAGGCTCCTTACTGCATAGAATCACAGAATGTCAGGGGTTGGAAGGGACCTCGAAAGATCATCTAGTCCAACCCCCCTGCCGGAGCAGGACCACCTAGGGTAGGTCACGCAGGAACGCGTCCAGGCGGGTTTTGAATGTCTCCAGAGAAGGAGACTCCACAGCCTCTCTGGGCAGCCTGTTCCAGGGCTCTGTCACCCTCACAGGGAAAAAGTGTTTCCTTATGTTAATGTGGAACCCAACTGCAATACATGTTAAAGCATAGTTAGTGTGTTCAGACCTTTTTAACGATGCCATTCATTCAGTATCTAGACTTTGTAACAGAAGTGTGATTTCCCTCACCTTCCGTAGTGGATATTTAGGCAGAGACTGATTAAGGTGATTGAGACAGAGAAGAGCTGTGCCCTCTAAAGACCTTGAGAAGGACAGAGTGGAGTATTATATCAAGATATTGTGGAGATGATAGATTCATATGAAGAAGGGGCAAGAGCAGAGTATTTAAATAACTTACATTTTCAAGTCCAACCTATCTTTTGATTGTAATTGCATAAGATTGCATTATGTTTAAGGAAACAGGAATTTAGAAACTTGATTGACATACATTGAGGTTTTAGTTTGACACAGGTACATCTCTGCTACCCAGTAGGTCCCACTCTAGGTAATTTTTTGTGGCAACTCACTATTAAACTAGTTTGGTTAAATTATGAAAGATAGCTGATAGCTGCATATTCATTCTGAATGTGTATCTTTGAAGAATTTTAGAATTTTGAGGTAAAATATATAAAGCAGTTGGGATCCCAGTGCCTATGAATTCTACTTAAGTAGCTGAATTTTTTGTTGCTGTTGTTTAACCTGGTAGTTTAGGATTAGGATTACACATATAGTGGCCCATCCTCTATTTCTTTGAGTTGCGTATCCAAGATTTTCACCCAACAATCTTGAAGAGCTTTATTATGTTAAATCTTAGTAGTCAGATGTACTGATTTTAAACAATAGCAAAACTTCTCTAACAGACCTGTTGGGCTTGTTTTGATCCCAGTAATAACTGAATAGGGAGACAGGGTGTTAGCCATCTGAGGACGTACCTGCTCGTTTTTTACAAGGGAAAATATTTCTGAGAGAAGTGTTTGCTGTGTTTTACATGCAGCAGAGAAACTATTCAAAGTTCTACTGCACTGTAACTTTTGTGTGGTGCTTTAAGTCAGTTGAAAGAAAACAGAATGGTATAAAGGTGTTAAAAAAAAACAAAAAAACAACAAAACAAAACCCAAACAAAACCAAAACATCTCCACAGTTTGGGGGTGTTTTGTGGGGTATTTTTGTTGGTTTTTTTTTAATGCTTAGTAAAAGACTTTGTAGCTGCACTTCTGTTGGAGTTGAGATACCAAATGAAAGTGGCAAGTATGGTGGAGTGATCACAGAACTGTGTGAAACTGGTAGAGGAAATGAAGGGCCCTACAGTGTGTAAAAGAAAGGCTTTAGTAACCAGGCAATACAAACACCCGTTTGCGTTGTTACAGTACATTAAGCTGTTCTGTTAGTATAGTGAACTGATAGTTTGAAAATTAAACAGATGAATCAAAAAGCATCTCTGAAATGAGATATATCGATGATCTTATTCTCTCTCTTGCCTCTTTCTTCCTTCTCATCTCTCCCCCACGCTGCAGTCCTTAGATGACCTTTCAAATGTCCCTTCTGATGAGACAGTTCAACTCCATGCATACATCTCAGATACTGGTAAGTGAATCTGTTACGATGGCTCCTTACTTATTTTCCATCATTTATTTTGAGTTTGGTAATATTACGGGCTCTTGAAATCCTAATACTTTCATATTTTTTTTAACCTCATAATAACCACATTTGAATTCCTGTTTCCCACGAAGAATTTACTAAATTGGCGCTGTAAGGCATAGACGTGCATCTGAACTTAATGTGCTTAAATTTTTGTTATTTATGGTATTGTTTTTCCTATCTCTGGAGAATCATTTATTAAACTTAATATTGAGTAGCATTTATTTTAACAATTTAAAGAACAAATTCTGAAAGCCACCTCTTTTTCTGGTCACACAATTTTAATTCTTGACTGTTTACTTCTCTTGGTATATTTTCTTCTGGTTTTTTTCTGTGCTTCCTTATTGATTTAGTTTCATTTAAGGTAGTGACTTCAGTCTCTACAATGGTGGTATTTTTGTTATCTTTTGAAAAAAATTTTCCTAGTAATAAATTAAAAATTTTTGTTACATGAGAGTAAATAACAAAAACTTCTCAGATGATGTTTGCAGATATTCTAGTTAGATGAGGTTGCACTGGGTTATTAAATTGTGGCTTGATCTTCAGATACCTTTTTTTTTGTCAATAGACTTTTAAATCTATGGATTTCTGTAGCAGACACATGAGCTGTAAGCAAGAACTCAACAACTTGACATTTTAATTAAACTCTGTTACTCCAACCCAGCATGAGAGCTTGGTGCAATCCAAGTCTCGTATAGTTAATCTTTAGGAAAAGGGGAAAAACATCTAAAGGTTAAGAATCACCATTTCGCTTTTTTGTTAAAATGGCACGTGATACTTTTTTCTGAGTTAAACTTAAAAGTTTCATTGTTTTTTGATGTAAGAAAAAAGGTGAACCACACAAATTATGTTCAATTTATAATCTCGATGGCAGCATGGATTGATAACGTGACTCTGAATCCATAATACTCCAGTTGAATGAAGGGTTATGTACAGGTTCATATTGTAAGATAGGATTAAACTGAACGTCTTCTTCCTCTTCACCTCTTCTTGTTTGAACAAGTCCCTGCTTTCTGGATGCTGCACGCAGTAGGTGCGTCTTGCATCTGTGCGCAGACTCCTTTCCTCTGCCGGTTACTGTGCTTGGGGGGTGCATACAGGATCTTCTTTGTAATCTTTCAGGATTCTCCTTGTCTTGTGTTGGAAAATAAATGCTGATTAAGAGGCTATGACCTAAGGGGTGGCGGGGACACCTCCTTTCTTTTTCTACCACTCCTGTCCTGCAGTGGTGCTCCTAAGGGTGCCGCTTAGCAGCACCCCCAAGATGCGATATGGGGGCTGCGTGGCGGAGCGATCAGCCTGAGCTTAGAGCATAGGGCTGGCTCAGTATCCGTGGAGCTGGCCTTTCCTGGCTTCAGCCTCTGTGCAGTCTTTTGGCAGCATCCCGACTGCCTGCTCTTTTCTCTTGGGGTTCAGCACTCAACATTCTTCTTCTAGAGGGTAGATGGCAAAGCAGACATGCTCCAAAGGATGTCAAAAGGGAGATGGCAAAGAAAAGATGCTCTGTGCCCGCTGTGCACCTTGCTAGTGAGTAATTCTTGTATTGTCAGCAGCCTCCCCTATCCTAGAGGTGCTCCCTGGCTACTCAGACCTTGACATTATACTTGAGAGAAGTCAAGGCTGGAAGCACAACAGAGGTTGGAGCTGATGATTTGTCAGGAAAGTGCGTTTTTATGGAGCATGGGTGCATTGAGAAATTCAGTGCTTGATCAAAAAGTATTTTCATCTAGCCAGTGGAGAGTTGTGGTTATTTGGTATTGGTTCAACATGTAAACCATATTGGTTTTCGGTTATTCTGTAGATGAAATGGAATTTTTTGAAACAGACTCTGTACTGGGAGGAATTCTGTGATGGAGGAATGTCCAAGAGAACTTAACTATTCAGTGGAGAACAAAATGATATTTGCTTCTATTTAAGATAGCTATCTGCGTTCCTTCCATTTATAAATTGACAGATATACATCATATGTATGTGTGCACACACATGCGGAACATATATGTGTGTGTGTATATAGTTTCTGTTGACTGAAATAGTGTGGTGAGTGTTTTTTATCTTAGTTAATAACAAACTGCTGCTGTTAATAACAAAACTGAGAGCCTACAGCTTGCTAGCACTGTCTTCTGTATTTACAGATTTATGCTTTTTTATGGATAAACTTTTGCAATATGATTAGAGTGCTTGCAGACTGGAATTTCTTCTGGGTTCACAGTTGTCTTTCACCTGTATCTTGTTCTTAAGGTTAAAATGCTTTTTTAAAAGATGCTTTCACTGTTCTTAAAAGTTGAAACCTTGTCTATTCTTTTTTTATGTTTTGCATGTCAGTGAAACTTGTCTTAACTTTAAGGCTTCTTAACCTCTGTATTTAAGTTTACGTAATAAGTTTCTAGAGGGTATCATCTGTACAGTGGTTTGGATAGAGAGATGGCTTGCTCTTTTTGCTTGCATGTCCATTTTTGTCTCTCAAGTCTGTCATTCCAGACATTTCTTCACTTCACGTTTGTGTCCTTTCGTCTTCCTTCTGTTTGTTCCTTTTTTATTTTTCTTTTTAAACTACTAGTCTATGCTGACTATGACCCATATGCTGTGGCAGGAGTGTGTAATGACCACGGCAAGACATACGCGCTGTACGCTATCACTGTCCACCGGCGAACTCCCAACAGCGAAGAGACATGGAAGACATATCGACGCTACAGTGACTTCCATGACTTTCACATGAGGATCACTGAGCAGGTAATTAATCTCAAAAAGCTGCTTTTTCTTTGTGATGGTATGGCATGAGTATTGGCTTTCTCAGAGCGACTTAAGATGTGGAGTTACAGCACTGTGTTATTTTCCATTGAAGTGTACTTGTTTTACCATTTATATCGTACATTATGTATAGAAAGCTGCTTTTTCTGTGTGGTGGTATGGCATGAGTATTGGCTTTCTCACAGCGACTTAAGATGTGGAGTTACAGCACTTGTTATTTTCCATTGAAGTGTGCTTGTTTTACCATTTATATCGTACATTATGTATACTGAGCAGTTTACAGGTGCACGTGTATGTAGTGTAGTATCTGATGGCTGTATAAATACTCTAACAAAAGGAAATGGAGCTTAGAAAGCTTTAAACGTCCCCCCCACACACATACACTTTGGTCAATTTTACTTTGCAGTAGATATCTATATTTAAAGTAGAGGCTGTTCTTTGCTTACATTGCTTCTGTTTAGACACAAGTATCCAAATAAAAGCCGGACCATCTTCTCTTCAGTTATTTTCCTCTGTAACCTATTTGCAAGGGAATGGGCTTTGTAAATGGATAAATTGTAAATATTGGAAATAGTTATTCTTCGATGATTCCTCAGGCCATAAGCGTTAGATGAGCGTTGTGACCTTCCAAAGTTTAATGATGTCTTTGTGAAAAGATACCTTGCAGGGACTGAATGGAATCAATTCCTCATTAAAGCTGTAATAATTTCTGGTCATCTCTAGAGGGAAAAAGAACCTTTTGCCAGGTTATTTCTTAAAGCCTAGATACTATATTTTTCTCTTTAGCACAATATTTATTTTTTACAGGATGTCTGGATTCTATATGTGGATAATCCTGGTTCTTCGAGTTTTACTCTTGTCACTTTTTCATTGTTGTGCATTATAGTGGATATGTTTAACCTTCTTGAGTGTTAGGGCCTCACCTTTCCTCGCCGCTGCCTTGGAACACCAGTTCTTTCTGTAAAACTGGAACAGTGGAAGACACGTCAGCCAGTACCAATCACTGTCATTACCTGGAGAACAGGCCCAGGTGATGGCACATCAAGCCTGGTGTGGTGACCGTGTGTAAACCGGGTACTGCTGCCCACTCCAGGGATAAAAACTTCATACTTCCTTAGTAGGTTTGATCAGCAGAGGAAAGGGAAGATGTTTTGGAAAAATTGGCAAGTTCTCTTGATGTAGTGCCAGCACCCTACTAACTTCTGCACAAATAGTAATGATAAATCTTGAGCCTAAACCTTTTTGAGCAGGTGTAATGACAGGAGGAATTTGCGAACTGCACTAGTCTGTATTTCAAAAGTGAGCATCGTGTCTGTGTGTTCGGAAATTAAATTTTGCCCTTGACAGTCTCCTGAGAGTTTTTCTGCGTATGTTCTTGACGGCCTAGCTTTCATTTTGGCTCCTCCAAGGAATCAGAGTTCCAGGCTTGATGCAGAAATTATTTGTTATACGGTAGATAAGCAATAGGTGAATATAGTGACCCTTATCGTTTCTGAGCTTATATGGTGATTTGAAACACATTTCAAAACAGAACAAAAACTCTTTTCAGAACAGAATAAAAAATGTTCTCTTTTTTCCTAGTTTGAAAACCTTGCAAATATACTGAAGCTTCCTGGCAAAAAGACATTTAACAATATGGACAGAGAATTTTTGGAGAAGAGGAAGAAAGATTTAAATGCATATTTGCAGGTAAGCTGTCATGATGGTTTTGGTTGTGTCCTCACTTGGAATTCTTTTTGCTGAGGTATAAAATCCTCTAGCATTATTTTTTTTTTTAGTTTAAAAAAAGCAATCTTGTAGGTGGTATACAATCCTGAATAGTATACCTAAGAACTTCATATTATCTAGTAAGTGTGCCTTTTCTTTGCTGTTGTATATCCTCAGCTGGTTCTCTCCCAGCTCCTCTGAGCTGGTGAGGCTCTAGCTGTGTTGGTTTTGAGCTCTGTGCCAGCTCACTTCCTTCCCTTACACTCGTGTTTGTGGTTACTTTCTCTGGAGCGGTTGCCTAAGGATTGGCGTGGTATCCGCTCCAGCGCAACCACACAGCTTCTCCGTTCCAATAAGGCCTCTGTCAGCCCAACTAAAGAATTCAGTTGTCCTGCTTCATGACTTTCTGGTCGTTTAGCACTAAAATACATTGACCAACTTAATGGACGTGTTAACAATAAATTACAAAGATGAGTAAAACGTTGTGAAATCTGATCGTTCTGTTTAGGGTGCTAATATTTTTGCCTTTGAGATGTGTGCCCCATTTCTGATAGCAATATTTTTTTAGTCACAGCTGGTTTGGTGGTTTTTTTTTTTTTTCTTGGACCTTTAGAAGAAGTTTGAGTGGTCATAAAGGGGTGTATTTTCTGTGAGGCGCTATAATTAACATACTGGTTAAATTACGAGAATTACCAAGAAGCATGTTGTTTCCATCTTGAGAACAGTGTAATGTTGGAATAAAATTTAGAAACTGAAAGAGAAAGTACGTTGCAAGATGTAGTGTCTTTGTGAGTGGTAAACTTTTACTAAACTGAATGGTGTGGCCTTTTTCATTATTTATTTAAAAAGCACCTTTTAAACTTATTTTACTCAGCTCTTGTTAAATCCTGAAATGATGAAGGCTTCTCCAGCTTTAGCCCATTATGTGTATGACTTCCTGGAGAATAAAGCCTACAGCAAAGGGAAGGGGGATTTTGCACGGAAGGTAAGAATGTTTTGCACCGTCAAGGGAACATTAGAGCATTCGTTAGTGCAATGATCGCATTAAAGGGAGGTGTGGGACTGATACTAAACAGCTATATAACGCTCTCAAAACATCTTGCGAGTGAGTTGCTTTAATGCTTTGTGAGTGGCAAAGTATCTGAGGACATATGGAACCAGAAATTTGCAATCTTTGTGACAAGTAAATTTATGTGTATGACAAGGAAATAAAATTTTCAAATTGGGCACTGTGTATTGCACAAAAACTACTCTAAAAGCGTGTTCATTGCAAGTCAGTTTGTCAGGCATCTGTGATTTTATTTTTTTTTTCCCCACAGTCTCATTCCTTCTGATTTCTTTTTTCAGTTCTTTACTCTGTATTTGCTGCTGTTACCGTGCTTTCCACTCTTCAGCCCAAAAGATGAAATGCATTTCCCTTCAAAAGCAGCACTTATGTATTTAGATGTTGTAACCATTCAGAGTCACTGGTCGAATTTGGAGCTCTGGGCTTTGCATCCTTTTTGTTAAGCCACCAGAACCGTCTTCAGCCAAGTGATTCTTTGTTCACTTGACCAGTTTGTGTGGGCATCTGCTTTGCAAAACCAGCTGTTTCTAAACTTTGACTGGTTTTGATACAAAAAGCATCTGCAACTGTATTGTCACTTCAAGTTGTTAGTCTGCCTACGTTCCTTAAATATTTAATAATGAAACAGTTAAATATTTATCAAGGTTTATGTAATGACTGAGTAAGATTTGGTTTCCAGCTTATCAGGTTCTTCATAAATCTAACTTTTTAAGGGCATCATGCTAGTATTTGTGCCTTCGTTTAGACTGAATTAGAGTATATACGGAAAGAAAAATTGTAACAGTTTCTGTGGAACTACTTTGTTTTTAATTATATTTGCCATGATATTAAAGCATGTGACTCCAGTGCTGTTTGAGAGGCTTGTTTCAAAGATGAAGAGTTGAAAGCAGAAGTGAAAAATCTGGAAGTAGGAAGCTTGGAAGGGAGAAATGACATTGAATGGAAAAGAGGAGGAAAATAAATTAAAGCTAAGGGAAACTGAGGGATGGGAAATGGAAATGACTCGGGGGAAAAAGATCTGTTGAAAGATGTAAATAGTTATAGTAGGGCTGTAAGGAATGAGAAATAGAAATTGAAGTGAAGCTGAAACTTTATTCTGCATTCTCTAATGAAGTTAAGCAATTTGAGTTGTTCTTTATGTTATTGTTCTCAGGAACAGTGTGATACTTCTCATAGTGTATTAATATACTGGTGTCCTCATAGATTATACAATTCTGGTTAAACATCTTCCCCTTCAGATGGACACATTTGTAAACCCACTGCGTAACTCTATGAGAAATGTATCAAATGCAGTCAAGTCTCTCCCTGACAGCCTGGCAGAGGGAATGACTAAAATGTCAGACAACATGGGTAAAATGTCAGAGAGATTGGGACAAGACATAAAGCAATCATTTTTCAAGGTAAGAAAATATTTGGTAGTTAATACATCCTAGTGAATTAATAGGAGGTTAGCTATCGACTCCCTTAAACTTCGTTGTGTACTGTAGTGAAGAGTCAAGTCATTACAGGAAAGCAATCTGGTTTATACCTAAGCCCTTTTTGTAAGGTTCAGCAGTCATTATACTACAAGCACAGAGGTCTCTCTGCTATTAAGTAACACGTTTTAAGACAGCACCTACAGACTGGCACGCCAATCCCTCTTCACTTCATTCAGTGCAGCCGCTTGAGAAGAGAGTTGCTGATTTTCTTTTTACTGCCCATTTTCATAAAGCTAGTTTGCTGCACCTGCTACATCATCAGGGAAAAAAAAACATGTGATGAAACTTAAATAAGGAGATAGCTTCCTTTCTGCTTATTCCTTGCTGAATTCTGGTTTTAATTAAATTTTCTTTCTGTCTTTACTGCTGTCTTTCCTCATCTCTTACATTGCTAAAATGTAGTACCTCAGAGGTGGAGAATGGTAGCGTGGCATGCTATCTAGAGGTCCTATGAAAGTAGGAATCTTCCTCACATGTCTCACCTTCCTTTCCCTTGCCCTCCTCTTTGTGTAGCTGTAAGGTCTGTGGTAAGGGATGGTTCCATTCTGTGTTACCAGAACGGTTATGTGTGGCCTTTGTAGAACAGTAGCCAAGATGAGTTAACCCTTAAACCATGAAAGGGAATAATAAATCAGGGGTGGGTGGTGGTAGTGGTTGGTTTTTTTCATTACTTGTGAGATAAAGTGATTGGCTCTGGACTTCCTCAGTGCTGGTAACTTCCCTGGTGTGCGACTGACAATATATCTGCAGTTATACTCACTGGGAAGTCCGTGACTAGGCAGGACTTAAGATCAAGAGGAAATACCAGAAGAAATATCAGTCCCATATGAATTTCTAGGTGTTTTTCAGTTGAAGCATTAGACTCTTGAGAAAATATATGGGGATTGTCTTAACAGTGTCGATAATTTTGATAGCTGTAGGAGAATACCTGCAGGCTTGATTTGTTGGAAGATGAAAGGACTACTGTGTACTTGTCAGCAGTAATATGCAGCTGACTTTGACCAAATGTCTGGGTTTCATTTTCCAAATTGATTATGAAAATTGATCTGATTTATTGGTATTCTAAAATATTTTTTACTTTGTAAACAATACCTTTTTTTCATTGTAGGTGCCTCCTTTGATCCAGAAAACCTATTCAGATCCTGACCATTGCCGTGTTGCAGCACCAATTGATGACAATGTGAGTCTGACATTTGTCCTTTCAAAGTTGACCCCTCTAAAACCAAATTAATGGGTTACTTATTTTATGTTAAAAATACGTATTTATCATCCAGGCATTTAAAAACGGTTCTTAACTTTTTAAAAAGAAACTTACCAGCTTTTTTCTAAAAATAACGTCTTTGTTAATACTAAAATGGTTTGCACAACAGTGGCATAACTTAAAGTGTACATGCTACTGCTTCTGTGTTTTGTGGGTGGGGGTTTGTTTGGGGTTTTTTTACACCCTCCTCTCTCCATTTTCTGTCTGTTCAAAGATAGTATGGTACCAGACTGTTAACATCATTTCCATTGGCATTTTATGGGTTCTGATTTCTGATGTGACCTTTTAAGGGGCATTTGTTTAATGCATCAGAAGTACTGTTTGCCTTGTCGTGGAAAAAACCCTTGAGAATGTTTTCCTAAATAAAAAACTTTTAGTATATGGATACTAAAATGTGTAGAGTAGTATTATTAGAAACTTGAAAGTGAAGTTTAAGCTCCTGATGTTATCATAAGCTGTGGTATTTTGCTATTGTTTTGATTGAAACATTGATCGTATATGTGCAAACAATTGGGAAAAAAACTTTTATCTCCAAGTAGGACAGAAAGGCCGTCAGATTAGCAGTGATTATATGCAATTTGCTATGGTCATAAATCTGCACCTGTTCTGCCCTTCATGTTTCGGGTTTTTTGGGCACATCAAAGCATTCCAGTTTGTCGTCCTGTGCATTAACTGCTATGATTGCCTAGGAGATGTATTTTTGCTCAGATAACACAGCCTTGAGTTCTTTCGGGTTTCCTTTGCCCCCCATTATTTTTCACTAAATCAGACTGTATCCGTAAATTTGTAGTTACAAATGTTCATCTTTGATACCTCTGAGGCTTCTGTTTTGCACAGGCAAAACAAAATGATACCATTTGAATACGTGGGCAGCTTCTCTGCAAATATTTCAATGATCTTCTGTAAAATGAATAGAAGCTGCAGTTCTTAATAGCTTCTATGTTAACATACCAGGTGTTTCTAAAGTCAGATTTTGAATGTTCTAAAACCTTTCAACTCTTATCTGCTCTTTTAACGTGTGATGTTCACAACTGACAGTCACTCAATCAGACAAAAAAATGTGGCAGTTTGAATGGAATTTTATGTGGAGAAGCGAGGCATGGATCTATAGAATCTCCAGCTGGTTTATGAGGCTACTGTCTGTGTTACGGTTTTATATAAAGATGTACTTGTGTAGTCCACCAAAAAATATCAACATAGCTGTTGAGATCTTGCTGCTTCTTCCCGCATAGGATTAACAATATAGTGCAGAGTTCTGCACTTCCAGGTAGAGCTGTATTGGATTTCACATACAAAGCAAAATGCTGGATGTTGTGCTTAGAATGTAAAAATCCTAATTTTAAAAAAAAGAAGAGAAAGTGCATTCAGTCTTTGAATACATTTTTCTCAGGATATAGTAGGATTTTAATTTTAGCGTGCTATTGTAAAAAATTTTAATAGTAAGTACAAAGTTTAAACAATGAATCAGTCAAAACACCAAATTAATTTGTTGTATTTGAGATAAGTGTTTGTGGTCTCTTGTGCAATACGACTGTAACTCCAAATGCTCCCTTTTTTGTGGAATAGCTTGACAATACGGAGGCTGGTATTTTGGCGTATAAGCAGGCCATGAGGAGCTGCTGCTGTTTCTGTAAGAGAAAAATTACTAACAACTAAGATGAAAATCTAGTAGTTTCATACTATGGAATTTAACTCTCCCTCAAATTTTAACACTTGAAAAAATGTTACTGCGAGTGTGCACCATCCATCTTTAAAAAATTCTATAGGTTTACTGAAGCGTCTGGTTTAGGATTTCCACAGAAGTAGGTTTTTGTAAGCCAATCTGTGTAATGTCTTCTATTTAATAATAAAATGGGGATGCTTTTTTTAATCTACAAGCATCAAAGCACTTAATAGCCATGCTGGTTAGAACAATATCTAAATAAAACGCAGCTCATGGCAGTGAGGTGTCGTTGTTCTTAGGAGGTTCTGAATTTGGCGCAGTGCATCGGTAAGAAAAGGAGGCCAAAGAAAAGCTCCCTCCAGAGTTTTCGTGTTAGGCAGTCGGAAGCACAGCTACCAAAGGAAAAGGTCAGGGACAGGCTCTCTCTTTAGGACATATTTACTTGTATTAACTTTGTTCAACTTTGGTGAAATAACTTTCTTTTTGTCTTATTTTAAAAATTCAATGGATTTAAGCCGAGTTTAATTTTCAATCTTTGTTTGCTATTAGTGATGTTATAGAAGATTTAGGGAAGATTTCATATTATAGTAAAACACAGAGTAAAGTGTTTCTGTCATTGTTCTGCTTGTACTGAAGCATTTGGCCTGTGGAGTAGCTACTAAAACTGGCTTTCTTGCTCTGAAAGAGAAGTTTACTGATTCTACTTTTACTTGCATGATCAGGTAGATGACAATATTCCGCTGAGAGTAATGCTCCTCCTCATGGATGAAGTCTTTGATTTAAAGGAAAGAAATCAGTGGTTGAGAAGAAATATAAAAAATCTGCTCCAGCAACTTATTAGAGCGACATACGGTGACACGATTAATAGGTACTGCTTTTCTTGTACAGAGCGACCGTGTGAGTGAGGCTGTGTGTGACTAAATTACTGTGGTGTAGAGCTGCGTGCATTCCCCTTCGGAGAGGATCAATAAACCAAGTACTGATGTGGTGTAAAATGGAGATAAACACAGAACAGTGCTGAGAGACAAATTCCAGTCACTCTTCTATGCCGGAGAACTTCCACAAGAGCTTTCACGTATCAACAAGAGTTCACGTTTCTGTGACTGTAACTTAATACTGATGGTGTCTTTGCTTTTTGCCCTGTGCTTTACACTATACTTTTTGTTGTTCATGCTCTTTATTACTTTCTGCACTGTTTCTGTTTACATCTCTTTGATGCCACAGATGATACACTGGCACGGGCAGATTATGTGAACTGTACTGAGTGGCTGTGTTAAGTTTTTGCTCTCACACTTTAAAAGAGGGAGGGAAGGGGGGAGGGAAAGGACTGTTAGGGGATTCGTTCTGCCCTGCCATGTTCTCTGCAACTCACATATACCATCTTCCCTGCAAATGAATAATGCTAAATAAGTAACGTTTCTTGCCCTCAGCTTAGAAATCTATTTTCAGGCTTTCCCTTCTAATAATTTGTTTCTGAAATGTAAATAAAAACACAGAACAAAAAGATTTCTAGAAGCAGGATTAGCACTGAATTACCACTTTGGATTAGTGTCATGAATCAAAAATTCCTGTTGCTTTTTCAGGACATTCCTCACTGGATCATTATTTTTTACCCTTCACAAGCATATTTTTGATGTTTTAATTATCACTTGTTTAACACACACAGAGTTCTTCTGGTACCAGTAGTGATGCAGTCACGTAATAAGAAGAGCGCTGGGTGTTCTTCAAATAATTCCTCGACAATTAACTTGAGACCTGTGCTTTCAAAGCCTTGCTGCCCTGTTGAACAATTCTGAATACTTCTTACTATTTTCAGATTGTAGTATAACTAGCTGAGTTTGCGTACAGGCTGCCGCTTTCTTATCACAGAGATGTGTGCGGAACTATTTTGCTTCTGCATTTAGAGCTATTCCAGATACCCACAGCTTTCTCTGGTTCAGCAAAAGCAGTCATACATGGACCTAGCAAATTCTTGAGGTTTAATGGCATTCTGCAGCAAAGTTGTGTTTTCTTGTTTCTTGGAGAACTAAATTCAGGGAAATAATGATGGGATTATGGTGATACTGATGCATATATCACTTCTGTAAACATGCTGGGTTTGGATATGGAGCTGTGTGTAAGTGTTGATGAATGAAGGTCAAATTTTGTGATCAGTCTTTCTCCTGTAAAAGGTAATGAATTTGAGATTTTAAGTAGGTTCTTTGCTTACAGACGCAGAACTTGAAGAGTGCTCCATGACGAGGAGTGCTCTACAAGCAGGACACTTGTCTAATGCTGATGGGAGATGCAGCATCAGTTTTCCAGCCTGCTTAGTTGTACACTTACTCAAAAAGAAAAAAGACTTCAGCTTTGGGAGTGATCAGTGAGCTTAGATTTTTATCTTGAGAATCAGCGTTTGCCTTCCTAGTGTGCCGGTTTATAGAACCTACTTAGAGTTGGAGAAAGCTGAAATTGTACTTTGTTTGCCCTAGAGTGCTATTTAAAATCCTATACCTATTTGTTCTCTGTTTTAAAAATCAAATGAGAGACTTGTTGCTTTGATTTTTAGAAAAATAGTTGATCATGTTGATTGGATGACATCTCCTGAGCAAGTAGCAGATGCGGTGAAACGCTTCAGGTATGGCTGTTATCATTGATGTTGAATATGGAGTACTTGCCAGTTGATGTCTAATATCTGTGTATCCTTTCTGTTCTTTATGTGAGGAAATTATTGTTGCTGCAAAGAATTCTGGTTGGAGCATCCACTGCTTTTTATGTAGAGACAGTAATTGTCACATGAAAAGTGTTTTTGAGTTTTCTCCACTTCCTTAAACAGTTCTCTGTTACTCTTAAGTCTTCTACACTGGTTATGGGGATACTTAAGAATTTCACCATATTACTGGATGAAGTGTCTTATTTACCTTATGTCCATGCCTTGCCTTAAAAGACAAGCCGTTCCTACTAAAGAAACCCTAGCTGTAAGCTGCTGTATTCCGCATGTGAGCAGATACTTTCAAACTCAGACTACAGTTCTGTTGTATCAAAGGTTCCATCATTCCATTCCTAAAAGTCTTAATGGCTTCAGTGATGCTGTTGAGCAAGAGCCACCACCATCCCCCCCTTTTTTTTTACTTTTTTTGTGGATGGGGTGGAAGAGATCAAGTAGGATAACGTATTGGCCAAAGGGTCGTACTCTCCAGATACTCTGTTATTCTTCAATAAACGTGCACTACTTACTCAGGAAAAGAATATATCATTCACTGAGGCAAAATAGCTTTTTAGACAGAGGCTTGTCTTCTGCACTGGGCTTTATACTACACAGAAACTACTTCATCTCAGCTTTAGCTTGTTGGTAGGTTAACTATTGTCAGAGATTGAATGAAGCAATTAATAGACCTACACCTAGAGAATCTCAGTGGCAACAGAGGCTGATTGGTAAAAGCAAATCTGAGGTATATTTTATGTAGCAAGAATGTGGCCTTTGAATGGTTTTGGTGTGTAATATTTAAAATTTTTTCATCTGATTCTTGTACTGTAGAAGTATATGGTAGCTCCCAACAGGTTGAGTGTATCGTACTTCTTGCTTTTGATTTCTTTTTTGCCTTTTGTTTTCTCTTTTCTAATATTTGGGGTGTGTATTAGGCTGTTTGCAAATTACTTTCTTGTATTTATTTTATGTGGTAGCTTTGAGGGACTAAAAAGAGCCTTTCACTTGATAAAAATTTAATGTATTTTGACAGATTTGCTTTTGTTACAGAGATGCTTTTTGGCCCAATGGCATTTTAGCAGAGACTGTTCCACGGAGGGACAAAGCTATTAGAATGAGGACAAGAGTGGCAGGGAAGACCAAATTACTGGAGGTAATGCCAGGTAAGCGAGTCTGGGATTGAGGCCTAATAATTTTTACCATACAGTGTTACTGGAATTAATGACAGTCATCTTGTTGATTGCTGAAACATTGAAAAGAAATGTTAACATACAAAACTATATTTAAATAAAAAAGGTTTTTAATTATTAAAGCACTGAACATTTTCACATGTACTGTGACTTTGCAACTCTAATTCCATTAGAACCAACCCGGTCTTTAGTTTGACTAGAGGATTTAAGTTTAGTGCATGAAATATCTATATTCCAATACAGCATGATTTTGTGTAAAATAGCATGGTTCCACATATATAGTATAAAACTGAGGTAATTTTCAGAAATCCTTTCTGCTGTAAGAGAACTTTTAGTTTAGTCGTGTTGTGTATAATAGAGGCACTGTTGCTTCAAATTCTGAGCTATGTAATCTGAAAGACTTAATATTCAGTTTAAGTTTGTTGTTAACACAGACACAGAATTTAGCTTAAACTTCTCTGTAACTTTCACTTTTGTAGATGAATTAAAGCACATCATAGGCGCTGAGACGACACGGAAAGGCATTCTTCGGGTCTTTGAAATGTTCCAGCACACTCAACTGAATAAGAGAATGGTGTATGTGTTTCTGGAGAGATTCCTAGAAACCTTGTTTCCACAAAATAAGTTCCATGAGCTCTTCAACAAACTGCATTCACGGTCAAAGCAGATGCAGAGGTATAAGCAGAGACTACATTCTACTCAAGCGCCTTCCTTGCAGAAAAGGTGACACTTCAAACCTATTCAGCTGGTGTATGGTTGTCCAGGACTGATTACTTGGGCAGATTCTCTGGGGCTTCAAACTCACATCTTGTTATTTCTGCACCAGTCTTCTAGTGTCACATATTAGATTATTAATGCATCTGTAAGACCTGTGGATCTTCTCATCTTCACTTGTATTTCAACCACTACCAGAAGGGTTTGTGTGTCTTAAATGATTTGGTGCGTCTTCATGCAACATTGAGAAGAATACTGGCCCAATATCTAAGAATGCTGATTCCTTCCGTTCCTGAGTCGATGTTTTGCCAGCAGTGAAAAGTGCCAGACTGTTCAAGTAAAGCACAACTGTGGTGATACAGTGGAAGAAAAGGATGTTTTGGCACTGGGAGATAGTGCAATGTGTGAGAATCAGGTGGAATTGTTCTACATTATGACTGTTGAGGCTCTCTAGGGCTCTTCTAACATTCCTGGAAAAGCTGAGCTAACAGGAAAAGCAGTCTCTGGAATAGCAGGTTCATAGGAGAGGGGAGAAATAGTTATAGTCCCACCATAAAAGTACATTTCTTTAAAGAAAAGTTGAGGTAATGTGGCTTTGGTGCCACATTTACTTCATCTTTCATGTTTTGAAAAACAAACTAACGTTAGATCTAATGGCGGTTTTAGTAAAGGCAGAGGTGCAGTAGAGATAAACCCTTTATTCTGATTATTCTGTAGCTTTAAGGGCCCTATTCTGCTCTTACAGCACCTGGCATACATTTTGCATGGAATTTCAGTGGAGAAGGGGCATCGTATTTTATGTTCAATGGGCATATCTGAACATACGTCCAGTTGATAGTTGTAGAAGGAAGGGGGTACATGTTTCAGAGAGGATAGACATCATGTTAGAAGGTGAAGAAATTGCACTAAGACACAGTTTACACACAACTCCCCACTAAAATTTGCAACTTTTTTTGAGTGTAAAAGAATTACGTCCTACTTAATGGGAAGATTCTGTTAGAATCTCCTGTTAGAATTAGTCGGTTCCTCGCAGGTAAAGGATTTCATTAGTCATATGCGAACACTTGGAAATTCCTGAACGCATCTCAGTGTATATATGAAAATAAAAAGGAGATAAAACTACAATATTTTTTTAAATAATTTTTTTATTTTTTGCATAATGTAAGATTTTAATAAAAATTTGACATCAAGGCCCCACATCCATCTGTTTAGTTTCATCAAAAAATTTCTGTCCAATCAAAAATAAAGTAACAACTGAATAATCCTGTTTGGCCACAGCATATCTCAGTTTGTGTTTTCTTTTCCATAGTCCCCAACCGTTTGAGCACCACTACTCGGGTGAATAGAAGGTCATCCTATAGAGTCCGTTTTTTTTTTCCTGAACGCTAAACATAGGGTAAGATACAGCTCTTGATCCAGGATCCTTACAGTAATTTGTGTCTTAATGGGAACAAATGATCCTTTTATGTGAGGGAGGAACACGGACCTTTTAAGAAAGCATTCTAAGAGAAGACAGAAGGCTCTCAAAGGACCTGGTTAAATTGACTGCAGCCTCTATATAGATCATTTTTTCTCATGGACTCTATGAATGCAATGTAGCCTTTTATCATACTACGTAACGATGATCATATAGTACTGTTAACATTCTCCTACGGTATGCATGGGCTCAAGTGCACTTGGGTTTTTTTTTTCTTTGTGGCAGAACTAAATACTGTAAAGGAAATCCCTTTCTTTTATAATCCCTAGGAAGACAAGTTGGTAAATATGTAAGAACCCTTCCCCCTTCCTCTCTGCAGGTTCTGTAGAAGCGTGATGATTAAGTGCTGTTGAATTTAACAAAATTCTTGAGTTCTGTGTGAAGTAATCAACATAGCCAGCTCCTGTTGTTTACATGCCTCTCTTCCCCGTGATGTCAGGGTGCTCGAGAGCACCTGACATCTGACTGATGAAAGATCGTTCAGCAGTTGTTCTTGGTGATATAGTAAATATATCATTGATCCCACCAAATCGAATTTATGTCTTTTAAATCACTGAATTTGTTATGCAGTATGAAAGTGGGAAGTTCAAGTACTGTTTTGTCAAATCTGTGGAGCCTTTTATCTATCTGTAGGTACCATGACAAATTTCAAGAGAATAGTGATCATGTGCAAATTTGGGATTTTTTTGAATTATCTGGTACATTTCTGTACAAAAATAAAATAATATCTCTAGGAATGTGAACTGAACATAATATGCCATGTTTATTAGTCGTTTTACTTAATGAATTCATTACGTATATATACCTATACACACATTTAGATACATGTGTGTGCATATGTATATATGGATTGAAGTTTTGTCTTCTGTATTTAATTACAGAATGTGGCTTCCTAATTCAGCAGTGCCTGCTGGCTGGCAAGAATCGTCAGAAACGAATACTTTTTGTTAACAAGAGTTTGTATGTATCTTTATTTAAACGGTTTTCCTGTTGACGATTTAAAATACCTGCCCTGTCAACCCATGCAGCCTATTATCCTAGGAAGTCTCCAAAACTGAATGTTAAAATACAGCACTTAAGTGTCTGGGTGTATCTTCTGGCCTTCGGGTGCTGTGACTGGCCGCTGAAAATTGTGCCATTGTCAACAAATGCACTTGTTTTAGCCTTAATTATTTTTAAGAGAAAATGAGCAATGGAACTTTTTCGTTTGGTTCATCCTCAAGCTTGTGCTGCTGGTGTTTGCTAGAACTAAACAGTAAATTTTAAGTGCTACCAGAATGTGTACCAAAATAAAAATATATGAATTCCACAATCTAAATTTTAATTTTGTGCAATATTTTCATTTAATGCATGTGTATTTGAATAACTGTAAAATAAATGAATTTTTAATGTTTTGAAGTCTAGGTTAAAAATGTCTTCTCAGCTGAACAATTTTGCATTCTGTTGTTGCGTTAGTTTATTTAAGGACTTGTTTTAAAAGTCTTATTTGTTACTCCTTTGTTAATTCCCTTGTTCTCAACGATCCTTGCTCATCTGAGCAAAGCTCACGTGTGACAAGGGAAAAATCTGAAGAGCACATCTCATGAATATAGCCGTTATAAATTACTTGTGCATATCATTGTACAGTAAGTGTCAGCTGTGTGCCTAATTGTTCTATTGATGCTTTTCCCTCTCCCTTCCCCTCCTCCCGTTTCCGTAACAGAATGAACATGGAACAGGCTGCCATGGTCACTTCTACTGAATGGCAGAGAACTCTGAATTTATTTTTTTTTGAGTTTGCATTTATGTTCTGTCCAATAGAAAGCTAAAAAATTACACTAATAAAGTATTAACAGGATTACTATGAGTCTCTGTTTATTTTTAAAATAACTTTCTTGCTAGCAGGTACGAATATTCCTCAGGTCTGTTAAAAAATCACTAAAGATAAAAATACTGCTCTTAAATAACCTCGATTATTTTATTAAAACATTTCATAGCTGGTTTTGCTTTTAACAAATTAATCTACATTAATTTTCAAGCTGCATTTGCAGAGTATCTTGTATTTTAAAAGGACTTATGCAGAAGCAGTGGGATTGTATGGTGTTGGAGGGGGTTTATATTGTTGTGGGTTTTTTACACTCTGGCTTTTCCCCCCTGGGTTTATTTTTGCAGCAGCTGGATCTGCCATGGGAGCACAATTGTTACCCTTGATGTATTTATTCCAGCTGTTCCACATTCATCAAAAAGATGTCCTGAGCTACAGAGATGTTAGTTCTTTGACCCTAGGGTAAAGTGTTTACCACTTTCACTGACTTGCACGGGTTTGCTACGGGATATAGACACATCTCAGGAATTTCGCTAGCTGATTGCAGTTCTTACTTGTCGGGGCTGTTTTCCTGGGGTAATTTCATGTCAAGAAATGCACTACATTATAAACTCTTTTTTTAAAAAAAGAAGTTAAATTTATCTGCCATTTGCTAAGAGGGTAGTATGTGTCTGTAGCTTATTTAACTCTCCAGTCTGTCACGTTATCTGGGTTGGTTTGGTTTTGATGTCTAGTGAATGTGTGAGGATTGCTAAAGCTTTCGTAAAGTTCGGCAATCAGCATCACTCTGCGTTGATTTATTTAACTACCAACTTCATGATTTATCCCTTGGAAGAAAGGAAATTATATCATGAAAACAATGAGTTCACTTATGTTAAGTATTTTGAGACAAATTAAGGTTTATTTTCATGAAGCACTTGAAACATCTATGGCACAGCAGTTTCCCCTCCCACACACAGAAATATGTTTAAATATGTCCGTATTCAAATACCTCAAATAACGGTTTCCCATGCTGTATCTCGTTGAATTAATATGGCATGTTGGGGCTGGGATAATTTGCATGGGTCAGTTGTATTATTTGGTATCTGGTTCAGAAAACTGGAATTCTCTTTTGACATTTTAGAATTGGAATAGTACATCAATTCATTCTGAGGTTGGGCTTAAGTAGGGAACAAGATTGCACTGAATTTGTTGGCAAGCAAGAGCTACTTGTAAGGGATGTAGCTTTCAAAAACAGACTTGCCCTTTCTGACCGTAACAATTTTAAAAGTGAGTCCTAAGTTGTCAAAATTTAAAGTCTTTGTGCTGAATTTTCTCGTCTTGAAGTCTAGAAACGCACTAGTTCTGAATCAGGTAGAGAGATACTGATGGAGTTTTCCGTTACCAATTTACTGGAGTTTTAGGTAAGAGATTCTCATAAAATTGTGAGAAATGGGAACACTCTCCTTCATTTAGAACATGTGGAGGGTGGTTCGGCGGATTACCTGGTTATTCCATGCACAGAACAGCCAAAACTTGAAAAAAGGTTTACTTTTTTTGTTGTTGTTCTTAAAACAGCCAGCCAGTACTAGGGTAGGTCCAGAACTCTCTTTGCAGAAGTCATCTCATGTAGCATGCCACAGGCTGCTTATTTTTCCGTTTGAAGGTGAAGCTAGAATTTTATTATCGGACAACACTTTCCTTTTCGGTTTCAAGGACTTCACACAAAACATTCCTTTATAGTCTGGTTTAGAACATGGTATCACATCTTACCTGCTCAACCATATGTTGTCCATGTTGAGTTAAGTCACTGCCTTCCCAATAATCCTGAACATAATTTTTGCCAACAAACGAGGCCTGCTTATACCTGATGTGAAAACACAAGAGGTATTTTGGGGAGGAAAGGGTAGGAGCTTCATTCGATATTCTGCTGTCTCGGGTAATCGTATGAGTGCAA